ATTTAAGATTGTCAACTCAGGGGTCGCGTGGGTGGCTCAGTCGGTAAGTAGCTCTAATCGCGGGTCAGTCTTGCAAAAGATGGAAACACAATGAAATACCACTACAGTCTATTCGAAAGGCCAAAATCCGAGAAACTGACAGTTCCAAATGCTGACAGTGGTGTGGAACAAGAACTCTCATTCATTTCTAGTAGGAAGGCAAAGTGGTGTGGCAACTTTGGAAGACCGTTTGGCAATTTCTTACAAAACAGAACATATGCCTACTAGACGACCCAGCAATTTTGCTCCTTGATATTTACCCAAAGGATTTGAAAGCTTATGTCTACACAAAAACATGCAAATGATTGTGTATATGAGCTTTATTCATAATTGCCCAAACTTGGAAGCAACCATGATGTCCTTCAGCAGGTGAATGGATATATCAAGTGTGGCCCATCCACACAATGGGATATTATTCAACACTAAAAAGAAATGAGCTATTGAGCCATGAAGAAACATGAGAATAATCTTAAATGTGTATCACTAAGTGTAAGAAGCCAATCTGTAAAGGCTAGATGCCATACGATTCTAACCTGTGACATTTTAGAAAAGGCAAAACCATGGAGAAAATTTAAGAATCAGTGGTTTTGCATAAGAGACTCTTAAATACGGAGAACAAACAGAGGGTTACTGGGGGGGTTGTGGGAGGGGGAATGGACTAAATGGGTAAGGGGTGTTAAGGAATCTACTCTTGACATCATTGTTGTCCTATATGCTAACTAACTTGGATGAAAATTTTTAAAAAATAATTAAAAATTCAGTAGTTTCGGGGGTGAGGGGAAGGGCAGAAGGAATTGGTGGAACACAGAGCACTTTAGGGCAGGGGAAATATTCTGGATGGTACTGTAATGGTGTTTACATGTCATTATGCATTTGTCAAGACCCACAGAATATACGGTACCTACAACACTGAGAGTGGACAGTAGTACAAACCATGGACTCCGAGTGACTCCATGTGTCAGTGTAGGGTCGTCATCTCTCCTCGGAACATTTGACAATGGGGAATGCTGTGTATGTGGGGGGGCAGGTGGTACATGAGAACTCTCTGTACTTACTCTGAGTGTAAAACTGCTCTAAAAATAATGTCTAGTTTAAAGTAGCAAAAATAAGAGGGAAAGGGAAACTAACATGTGACAACTCAGCTCACTATTCTTCCATTCGTCTGATAAATAGTTCATAACTTCCTACCATGTGGCAGGTGTTCTTCTTGTGCCTTTTATATTATTCTATTTTACATACATTAGTTACATATGATATTATATGTCATTTTATGAGCCCTGTTTTAATAACTATTAAATGTAGACTTGGGGGGAGAAAGGGGAGATGGTGAACTGGCCTGGAATGATGGCGTGGGGTTCCGCCTGCTGGGTGTGGAGAACCCACTGGGGAGCATACATGGAAAAGAGACTGCTGGCCATTTAGTGGGAGAGGAAATACAAGCGTCATTTCGAAGAAGAAAGTTTCCCCTGACCGTTTTTCAAAGGGAATTTGCACTTCATTAATGTTTCGCATAGGTTTGTCTGGAGCCTCACAAGAATTTCAGCTTGGGTACCGGAAGAAAGGGGAATTGGGTGCAAGGAGAAGTTGATGGGAGGCAGGATCCAGGAGAAAGACAGAGCAGGGGGGAAGTGCAGAGGGCAGACCCAGACCCATCCACGGCAATCCACAGCACCCGGAAGTCCGGCCGTGGAGAGAGACCCTTCAAGAGAACTCAAAGTCCACCTTGGCCTTCCCTCCTGGTCCTTGCGGGATGTGGGAGGCAACAGAACCAAAGGCCTGACCATCACATTTCGTGTGTGTGAACTCAGCCTGACTAATGCTTGACTTTACGATTCCCGAATTCCTAGATAGAATTCAACCCAAGAAAACAAGAGCTTTTTATATATACGATCCAGTGACACCCCCCCAAATAAGAGCAAAAGAGAAATCTCATCTTATTCGTGTTTCTCTAAATAGATTAAAATAAAACTTAAGACATCATTATAAATTTAGACCTATGGCATTAATCAGGGTTACACCGAAAACATCGTGTTCACATTGTACCATTAAACACTGACATTGAATTTGTTTTGAACTCATTTTCCTTTTTTAATGCTTTGGAATAATATTTTAATAGTTTAATTCATTAAGTTGTATGAATGGGAATTATGTCATAAATTAAATACTAATTATACAATATAGTTAAAATATATAGAGATATATTGATAGATTTACTACACCAACTTCTTTATTATTTTATTTTTTTAATGTTTATTTATTATTGAGAGACAGAGACAGACAGAACATGGGCATGAGAGGGGCAGAGAGAGAGACGGAGACACAGAATCTGAAGCAGGCTCCAGTCTCTGAGCTGTCAGCACAGAGCCCAATGCGGGGCTCAAACCCACCAACGGTGAGATCATGATCTGAGCCAAAGTCAGCAGCTTAACCGATGGAGCCAGGCAGGTGCCCCCAACTGCTTTTAATTTTAATCAATCAGTTAATTGTAAAAGTGGCTTTATTACCTCTTTTGTAATGGTTTCATCATTATTAAGATCATTACACCCGAATAATTTTAAAGTAAAGCACACACATGCAAATACACACATATAGAGAAAACAATATTTATAGTTTAAGCTTTTGAACAAATGGAATATCCTTTCTGAAGTATTATGACACAGTGGGTGTTGCTGTAGCCCAGATATATGTACGGGACACGGTCACAGTGCTTACAAACTTTCTCGTGAGTGGGCGCCAGGCAAGCATTGGTAAAACTGTATACTGGGCGAAAGTTGTTTTCTGCTTCCTTCAGACGTTTGTAGTGGACCCGGGGACACACTTGACCACGTTCCCGGGGTGCATCCACCGCTGCTGGCTGTGCAGACACGTCAGGGAAGCTAACGCCCTCCCCAGCAGCCCTGTCCCCAGTGTCTTTCCCCCTTCCGTCCCTGCTCCTGTTCAGCCCAGACATGAGATATGTGAAACACCATATTCGTTTCCCAGATTAGGGACTTTGAGGCCAGGGATTCTGTGACAATTGCAACTTTTTATGTTTTCGTTTTGTTGGTGGAAGAAAGTAATTCCTACGGCGTATTCTGAATGATCTGGGCCCACCTCCTGTGAAGGAGGCATGCCCTCATTTATCTGTAAGCTGGTAGAGGAAGAGCTGCCGTGGCCACCTGGAGACATTCTGTACACAGGAAGGGTTTTGTTTTTTCCCTTAAATGAGGGATATTACTCAGTTTTGAAAAGCCAAGTTCTAACAAATCTAAGAGACACCAGTGTCGCAGGTAATATAGTCTCCCTCCTCATTCACTCAACAAATATTTGTTGAACATGTGCTATGTGCCTGGCGCTGTGCGTGGGGTAGGGTTAGAGATCTCTCAGTGAACAAAAACAGGCTTGCCCTGGGGCGCCTGGGTGGCTCAGTTGGTTAAGTGTCCAACTCTTGATCTCAGCTCAGGTCACGATCTCACAGATAATGAGCTGGAGCCCCACATTCGGGTCTGAACTCACAGCATGAGCCTGCTTGGGATTCTCTCTCTTCCTCTCTGTCTGCCCCACCCACCGCCCCCGCTCACACTCTATCTCTAAATGAATTAATGAATGAATGAATGAATGAATGAATGAATATTGGGGGACTTGGGTGGCTCAGTTGGTTGAGCTTCTGACTTTGCCTCAGGTCATGATCTCACGGTTCATCGGTTCAAGCCCCAAGTACATTGGGCTCTGTACTTGCTGAAGGCTTAGAATAAATGAATTTTGAAAAAGGAAAAAAACAGACCGTCCCTCCAAGAAGATACGTTCTAGCAGACAGTCACTGTCAAGACACATAATAAAGAAGTTAGAACCTGACAAGGGCTGTGAAGAATTTGGTAACGGGTTAAGAGAAAACAAGAACTGTGTTGGAAGAGGGTATGGATCAGGGTGTGGTTTTAAATAGTGTGGGTGACGTAGCTTCACAGAGAAATTCATAGTTTCATACCTTTGAAAGGGTGGGGAGTTAGCCATGTGCCCACCATATCTGTGGGATGAATGAGTTTCTGTGATAAGAAAACTCAACAGGGAGAGTGCTAAGTTATAATCGTTCACATGAAACCATCATTTTTCAATCCCTGAGAGACTTTCAAGTCAAAAAAAGAAGACAGTATTACTGAAGGAGTCATGTCCTTTTTTCCATATAAATGCAGAAATATCCAAATATAGCTGTGCTAATGAAAACTCCATGAAACGGTCTGTCTGTTAACTAGCTCATTTGTTTCAGTTTTAATTTAAGAATCGGTCTAAAAATTAAAGGACAGCGAGAAGACACACCTAGAAACGTATTGCAAGAAGGGTTTTTCCCCCATTACTTATTTTAAAAATCAAAATTATTTTGGGTAACGAGAACATCAGAACTCAATGCGATTTTGCTGTTATTAGTCAAACACCTGAGTTAAGCATGACATGCATTGGTCTTAGTGTTCCGACCAGCTCACATTGTGACTTTCTTATTTTCTCGGGCTTCTTAGATAAAAATCCTTGTGTCCATGCTGGTTTCTCATTTAGCTTCTGGTTCCTTTGAAATGTTGGAAGGATTTTCTGATTAAGCCTAATTTTGCCATTTTGTACATCAGTCCAACAGCCCTTTAAGACAGTGGTTCGATGTAATAAATCTCAGGAGTGAGAAGCATCTTTTGTTCCTCCTTCCGCTCCTGCAATGAGCGTGTGCCGTATTTTTATAGAGAGAAATGCCCATCCATTATGAAGTTACAATCACCTTTCTTAGGTCTAGAACTTGAGAGGAAGTATGTTTGACATTTTACCACCAGGATATTCACCCAAGTGAGGCGATCGCATCAAAAATGTTTTCCTTTGTGGGCTTTACTTCCGTTCGGTGAAATGAATTGTAGCAAGTGCTTCACATGAAAAAACTTGGTTTGGTTTAAACGGCGACCGCTGTTGAGTCTCTAAGGCCAAAGTTGTTCCCTGTGCTCTTGCAGATAAGGAGGCAAGGAGGTGTCCAGCTTCTGGTGGACCTGCTAGACCATCGGATGACGGAGGTCCACCGTAGTGCTTGCGGGGCCTTGAGAAACTTGGTGTACGGGAAGGCCAACGACGACAACAAAATCGCCCTGAAAAACTGCGGCGGCATCCCAGCACTGGTGAGGTTACTCCGCAAGACCACCGACCTGGAGATCCGGGAGCTGGTCACAGGTGAGTGTCCTTGTGAACAGCACACCTGCCTCTCCAGATAAAGTCGCCATTATCCGGCACGGTAGCAAAAGCGCTGACCAAGTTTGGGGGAGCAGGGCGTCTCAGAGGGCTCAGCCCACGGGCAGGTCCCGGTAGGCATGTGGGGAACAAGGGATTAAAGGATCATCTAATTTAACAGACGTGGAGTAGCCAAATTAGATCATTAGAATCCAGGAACCATTACCCTCCTGAATTTGTCCTGTTGACCAAAACTCGGTTCCACTTCCCCTCCTGGAAGAAATGCTGTCTTCTGTCATTTGATTCTGTCAATTCTGTTCCTAGATTTAGAAGTAGTTCAGCATCTTACAGTACCTATATGTCATCATTAAGATGGCATTTAATAAGAATTGATAAAACGACAAAATACATGAGTGATTAAGTGGATATTCTGGTTTATAATGGGGCTAAGAACAGAGATCTTATTGTACTTAATAGTTCATTTCTTGGGGGAAAAAATGTATCCCTAGTCCAAGTTCCCAGGTTATAGGATTACATATTAAGGAATTTTTCAAACGTGAACATGAGAGAAAGCCTTTCTGTGAACATAGAACTTCTGAGCTTTATTTTTTTTTTTAATGTTTTATTTATTTCTAGGAGAGAGAGAGAGAGACAGCGTGAGCAGGGAAGGGTCAGAGAGAGGGAGTGACAGACTCTGAAACAGGCTCCAGGTTCTGAGCTGGCAGTCAGCACAGAGCCCGACGCGGGGCTCGAACCCACGAACCGAACCGTGAGATCATGACCTAAGCGAAAGTCGGACGCTTAACCGACTAAGCCACCCAGGCGCCCCTGAGCTTTATAAAGCAGAGATCACTAAAGTAGCGGCTCATGGAGCCATGAGGATTTGGTGAATGAGAACAAGCAAGCATTTAGCAGTACCTTTCCTGGAATGCGTGTGAATGCGGTAAGCATTAGCCGCCACTCTCGTCCCTCACCTTCTAAGTGTGTAGTTTTACTCATTGGAATGCTAACAACAGAAGTGGCCTCCTTGTGGGGCTTTAATTACTCCTCTTGAGTGTCCACATTGTCGTTCTAGGTGATATTCGGGTTTGGGTTCATCAAAGTTCCCCCTTCAAGCGTTTAGCCAATGAATTGCAAGGCTGACTTAAAAAAGAATCTCTTCATCTTTGTGATGCTACTGATCTTCCATCTTGATTCTAAAACCTCCTTGTAGCTATGCTCATGAGGTGTATGTGCACTTGTTTCTTTAAGAAAATACATTACCCAACTTGGGAGTCATCAGTATTGGCTCGGTCTGAGGTCAAGACTCTCATCCTCAGCATATTTTCTTAAAGGTACATGCTTTAAGATTATTGTCACATTTCTTTCACACTCTTAGCTAAATTAGAACTAGACCCCAGTTCCTTTTGTTTTTCTTTTTGTTTTGTTTTGCTTTCATTTCTCTAAGTGGAGAATTGTCTTCGTGGAAAAAATCGTTAAGTTTACAGTGCTATTGAAATGATGTTTCACACCAAACTAATGTGGGTCAGTTAAGGTAAATCTATTATTATGTACATGTTATGATGTGTAGGACAGTTTTGGGGTGAGTTAAATAGTTGAAGATGCGCCCTGCCATTATGGTTCTGAACCCCCATCCCTACTTTCAAATTGAGAGAAAGGACTCAGTACGTGCGATGGGAAACACCGTGGCGCCTTGGTGCATGAAGGCCGTGCCAGTAGGTGCATGAGGCCAACAGAACTGAGGCAGCACCTTGTGCTGTGCACGTTATGCATCCATTTCATGATTTCAAAAGAATTGGACTTTACTAAAATTTGGATTTTCCCCGGGGCCCCTGGGTGGCTCAGTCGGTTAAGCTTTCGACTTTGGCTCAGGTCACGATCTCACGGTTCGTGGGTTTGAGCCCTGGGTCAGGCTCTGTGTTGACAGCTAACTCAGAGCCTGGAGCCTGCTTCTAATTCTGTGTCTCCCTTTCTCTCTGCCCCCCACCCCTGCTCATGCTGTCTCTCTCTCTCTCAGAAATAAATAAAACATTAAAAAAAAAAGAAAGAAGATTTGGATTTGTCCCAACATAAACCCTCTTTGGTGGCTTATCTCATTGCCAAGGAAATTTGGCCCCATGCAAAAGGCTGAGGTTTACCAGAAAGAAAATGGCAGCAATGCTTCTATCCGCATGTCATCATCCACTGCAGCATCCCCCTGCCTCTTCTGAATACTCGAAGCCTCTCCAAAACACAGCTTCTCACAAATGCTAGATGTCTCCCATGTTATGCGCCTGGGCAACGTCGAAAATTTCTATGTGAGCCTCATGTGCAAACATCAGAGGCAGGTAACCTCTTCAGAATATCAGGAAGTTTCCTTTCCTGGCACAGCTTTGGCTATAGGAAAGATGTAGTACTTGATATACAGAGCATGCATGTGCCTTCTTCTGCTCCTTTGGAGAACAAAGGTTTGTACCCGTTATCATGTCACGACCCAGCGTTTCTTCATAAGCTTGTGCTGGTGGCTGAAACTCTCTTCACTTACCCTCCTGGAAGAAATGCTGCCTCCTGTCATGACTCCATGCAAGCCATTTGGGCTGAAAAGCTCCAGAATGACAGTGCTTCCTACTTCAGTAGACATTTTCTGCCATTCCAGAGTCATGGACTTACCATGCATGGCTGAACTTGAGGCATGAGTTTTACTTATTCCAAAGGAAACCATGTTGTTAAAACATTTTGATGGGTTGAAGGCCATGGTTTCTGGGGTTTCCATGGTGGATACTCTTGATAAACAATAAGCATCTTGGTGAAGCTACCGCTCTAGAAAGGGACATTAGAAGCAAGCATGTACAAGAAAATCCCAGCATGGAAGGAATTGCTGCTGTGGGCCAGTCTGTAGCGACAGAGCCTTCTAAACCCCCATGCTGGCAGAAGTCTGAGGGGTACCTGGAAACCAGCAAGGCTCTGCTGACCTCTGTTTAGACGTAGCATCAATGATGCAGAGCCAGCCAGAGCGACTCCGCTGCCTGAACCAAAGTAAAATGAGGCAAGTGAATTTACCTCAAAGAGCCTTAGAGCATCATTTTCATGTTCAGCACCGTCCAGGCACCCACTGGCCCAAGGGAGCTATGAAAGCTTGGGTTCCGTTGGCTCCTGGAGCTTTGGGAATCCAGTATTTTAGTACGGCTAATCGATTTAACCTCAAGGACATCAAATCCTCCATTTCTCTTGTCTTTCTCTTTCCATTCCTCCTCTGAGGCTCTTGTCTCCCCGCAAGCCTGGCAAATGCTTTGCTACACTAAGCCCATGCCCTCCATTCATCCTTCATTGTTCATTTCTCAGATGCTTTGGAATTTCTACAGACGCCAGGCATGTGCTAACGCTTGGACATCACACACTCAGGGTTGGCATTCAGCAGCCGCACAGCCGCACTGTCACGATGTGTACAGCAGAGCCCACTGGGATCTTAGAGGCTCTCTTGAGAACTGTCCCACCCACGTAATGCTGGCTGCTAGATATTAAAGGGGATGTTGCTGACAAATGTGTCACATTTTAGAAACTTAATTAGATGAGCACCAAGCCTCACGATGGCCCTGGAGAATAGAGCAGTAAAAGCCTCTCTTCACTGCTGCTGTCACATTGTCACAAGGACCCTCCTTAAAGCCTTTTGGGAATTAGGTTAGATGTGCGTACATGGATTAATAAAACAGTGATTTAAGTAGTGAAACAACTATGCCCTTTACTTCCGTTGTAATTCTGGAGGAGGCCTAATTCAGAGTCTAGCAAGGAGTAACACCTTGGCACACGACTGAGTGCTGCCTGTACAAGGGAGCCTTTTCTCTCTTGGATTCATCTCCATGAGTGTTAGCAACTCCATGAAAACCAATGTGTGTTAAAATACGTTGAAGGTAAGAAGTACCCTTTGAATTCCCCTTTAGATATTTACAAGCTAGGACGTTTCGTAAACAAATATTGGAAAGAACAACGCTAGTGGTGTTTAAAAAAAATAATAAAGCATGTTTCAAAATGAGATTTCCGATGAGATAGATCCAGGCTCTGTAACCAAAAGGATCTAGAGTGCCAAATTATAAACAATAAAAGACTAAAAGAAAGAGATGTTCTGGCAGAGCTTTAAATTATTTACTGAGTATTCCTTGGCAAACAGTGTGAACAATAATAAAACTTTAAAATAGAGCTATTTACATGCATTTACATTCAACACGTAGACATGCATGCTTTAAAAAAAAGCTGCCTGCGTGCATTGCAGTATGTATTCACAGCAGAATATATTCTGCTTCTGTCTGTGAGGCCTTGCAATAAATAATTTTCTTCCTATGCAATAATTACTATAAGATGGTGATCAGAATTTTATTTAAATCCAGCTGAAGCTATTACATGCTAGCGATTACTGGAAATATCCGAAATAACCTTTGGTTACAAATTCTGTGTGTCCTTTGGGCTTGCCTAATAGAATTTTTCTCTCTCTCAATATGGAAATAATCAACCTAAGTTTTGAAATGCCCAACTAAAGATTTCTGAAGGCCAAAAATCAAAATAAATCACTTTGTATTAAACCATAAACCATAATACATAGCTTTTATTTCTGTTGAGAGCAAGTGTCCTTAAGAGTTCTGCTTGTCCGTGTTTTCTTCCATCTTATGCTTCAAATACCCAAATAGTCTATCCTAATTTAACTAACTGAAGAGACAAGCCTCGGTTTCTTTTACTGACTAACATTAGGTCAGTTGATTTCATGCCGAGTATGTTAGAAGTTGAATTACTGGTAGCCTTTCAAAATGTGACTCACGGGGCGCCTGGGTGGCTTAGTCGGTTAAGCGTCCAACTTTCACTTGGGTCATGATCTCGCGGTTCGTGGGTTCGAGCCCCACGTCGGGCTCTGTGCTGACTGCCAGCTCGGAGCCTGGAGCCTGTTTCAGTCTGTGACTCCCTCTCTNCTCGGAGCCTGGAGCCTGTTTCAGTCTGTGACTCCCTCTCTCTCTGACCCTCCCCTGCTCACGCTCTCT